CATTTGTTTTGTATCTTTAGGTTTGATGTTAAAAATGACCAGTGTGAATGCTAAGCGAACCAGTATCTTAAATGTATCATTTTCTTTTTTTGGTCCAGACCAAAAGAATCAAGAGAGCCAAACTACAAGCGTGAATACATCTTCCCTGCTTGCTTAGTTCAGCTGGACGAACAGCTCTAAGAAGAGTCCTGGTTGTTTCAAACTTCTTCCATTTAAGAATAATGAGGCCACTGTTCTCTTGGGAACCTTCAATGTATCAGAAATTGTTTTGTAGTCTTCTCCAGCTCTTGACACAATCCTGTCTCTGAGGTCTCCATGCAGTTCCTTTGACTTAATGGATTTGTTTTTGCTCTGATTTGCATTTTAAGCTGTTAGTACTTATATGGACACGTGTGCTTTCCAAATCATGTCCAGTTGTCAATTTGCAGAAGATGGACTCCAATCAAAGTGTACAAGATGATCCAGAGAAATGGGATGCACCTGAGCTAAAATTCAAGTGTCATAGCAAAGGGTGACAATGTGCTATTTTAGTTTAACCTTTTTAATAAAATTTGAAAATTTAAAAAGTTTTTAACTTTCTGAATGCACTCTAAATTAAACTGATCAAAATTGCACTTTCCTCTTTCTTTACAATCATCAATTACGTTAGTCTCATCATTCTGCCAGGTAGATACAACAACAAAATTAACCAACAAATATCACCATCAGCACATCACACACTGCCAAACTGCAATCTTCTCTACCAAGAAAATGCTCTCACATTACAGCTGTGGTTAACAAGACAGGAAGTCAGCATTTTCGTGTGGGATAAGATTATGAACTGATAAAACTGATAAAAAAAAAATATAAAAGTGTACAACAGCTTTACTGTTAAAGGAAACAACAGGTAGGAGAACACAGACCAGGGAAAGAGTACATTTAAAGGTGAGAGAAGAGAAATCTGACCTGAGATTTGCAGCGATGGTGAACAATAAGACATTGATGGTGGTCGTCCTCCTAAGCATCTTTGTGGCAGGAAGTCAAACAAAAGGTTAGTTTAAATACTCTTAATTGGTAACACTTTATAATAACTTTTTGGTAACACTTTATTTTGATGGTCCCTTTTGAACATTCTGTTGACAATAAATAATGTTGCACCTACATGTTAACTAACAGAGTATTAGTAGACTGTTTGCTTAATATCTGCTAATTCTTTATTGTCATGGTCTCCCAACAGACATTCTACTGACTATAAGTAACTTTGCAAGTACATGTCAACTTATTCTAACCTTAACCCTACCAGTCTACTAATACTCTACTAATACTCTAATGAGAGTTAGTAGACATGTAGGTGCAACGTTGCTTATAGTCAACCGAATGTGTTAAAGGGACAATCAAAATAAAGTGAAACCCTTTCATTAATAAACCATTAACAAACATTATATAATGTTTAACAGATCATTAGTGTGTGTGTGTGTGTGTGTGTGTGTGTGTGTGTATATATATATGTATACACATAGATA